TTATCCCGTCAACAGTTACTTGGCATAGATTTTTTTTCTAGAATTTTCAATTAAAATATTGCTATATACTTCATTTTCTACATATTTTCAAGTGTACTAATAAGATAAAAAGAACCCCTCAAACTCATTTCTATCAAGGTGGAACCAAGTAATAGCCCTGATTTCTTGAGTCTGAGGCAGGTTTTTAATGGATCTAAATTGCATAGGAGATTGCCCATCTTAATCCTGTTGAGCCACTGGTGCATTTGAACCACCAAACTGGCATGACCTCTGGGTTAACAGTACACCTTCCTATCAACTATACCATCAGAACTCCCTAAAACAAGTAAGATTTGCTGTTGTTTTATGTGCCATTGAGTTGGAACTGACTCATAGCTGACCCTCCAGTGGGATTTCAGAGGGTGTAAATCACACAGGATCATATTGCCCATCTTTCTCTCATGGAGCAACTGATCAATTCAAACCATGTGCCTTTGGATTGACAGCACAACTCCTTACTACTAACCCACCAGAACTCCCTTACACAATAGTTTCTCTGAATATGCCTAAGACTGAGAAAAACTGGATGAAATATGTTTACAGCATTGAAGTCTATAGGGGAGAGAATAGTCTAAAAGTATTATATTTTAGGGCATTATTTTTATCGTAGGAGTATGCAATGAGGGTTGCAGGGTGGATTATATTTGGGGGTAGGGGGTGGGGATTGGGGAGGTGCGGGGGGATTGTGTACCAATGAGGGAGTTTTTCTTTTGCTTTTCAAGGAGAGGAGCAAACGGGGGGGAGGGGTTTGTGCGGGGAGAAGGGTGCAACAATGAATGAATGGAATTCCAAAATCTCTGTAGATGTTCATTGAAATGAAAAATAAACAACCTAAATTTAAAAAAAAAGAATGAATTTGCTAGATTATGTCTTATGTAGCATCTTCACTTTTACTACACTTTTATATGCCAAAGTGTTTATAAAGATGTTTTGACCGTTTACCATCCTACAACCAATATATATACATAGGCTACTCTATGTTTTTACCAATATTTAGTATCTGTAGAGTGTAATTAACGAAGGTAGTGGATATTATGACTTTTTTTTTCTTTCATTTATACTCCTTATTAGTAATGAAGTTGAACATAAGTTTCTACATTTTTCCTCCTGGAATTGTTGGATTTTACCAATGGTGCTGTTCCTATGCAATTTCCAGCCTCCATAATTTTGCTTGAGAGTCAGTGTAAGTGTCTGGTGATGTAGTGTCTGGGTTTTCCGCAGCTAACCCACAGACCACTTTTCATGGGCAGTTTGAATTCACCAGCACTTCTGGGAAAGAAAGATGAATAATGTCTACTAGTGAAGTGAAAGATCAGCTATTCATGAATTCCAACAAAACAGCAATGAATTTGAAGTGTTTTGTTTTAAATGACTATATAGTGGTCAGCTCCTGGGTTGTCTGGGAATTGAACCTGGGCCAACTGTTTGGAAGGCTGCTTTGCTCACTGCTGTACTGCTAACACCACAACAAACAGAACCTGGTCAACTGACTGTAAGAGATGCATATTTATTCCCTATTTCTCCCCAGAAGTAATCTAATAGAATGTGGAAATTATTGAATAATATCGATAATATGATATACAAGCAAAATATTGCTGAATATTATTAAAAAAACACCAAGAGTGGAACAGGATATTGACCGAGAACTGTCAGAAATGCAAGCAGGATTTAGAAAGAGGCCATTGCAGAAGCTATATCATTACTGCTGTCAGATGGATCTTGACAGAAAGCAGAGAGTCCCAGAAGGATGTCAGTTTGTATTTTATCAACTTTGCAAAGGCTTTTGACTGTGGATCATGAAAAATTATAGCTAACATTGAGAAGAATGGCAATTTAAGAATATTTGATTGTGTTCATACGAAATGTATACTTGGGCCAGGAGGCAGTCATCATAACAGAGCAAGGAAACACTGCATGGTTTAAAATCAAGAAAGGTGAGTATTAGGACTTTATCCTTCTCCATACCTATTCAGTCTCTTTGTTGAGAAAATAATTTCAGAAGCTGGACTGTATGAGAAAGAATATGGCATCAGGATCAGAGGAAGGCTTATAAACAACCTTCGTTATTCAGATGACACAGACTTGCTGCTGAATGTGACTTGAAGCATTGTCTGAAAAAAGGTTAAAGACTATAGTCTTAAATATGGATTGAATCGCAGCATCAAAAAACAAAGATCCTTATCTCTGGCCCAATAGGCATTATGATAGATAGAGAAAGATTGAGGTTATTAACAATTTCATCTTGTTCAGATCAACAATCTTTGCACCCACAGTTAGGAAATCAAAGGACAAATTGCACTTGGAAATTTGTTGTTGAAGACCTCTCCAGAATGCTAAAGAGCTACGAAGTCAGTCTAGAGAATAAGGTGCACCTCTTCCAAGCCATGGTTTTCGCAATAGCTTGCTATGCGTCTGAGAGCTGGAAATGGTTAAGATTAACAGAAGAAGTATTGATGCTTTTGTGTTATAGTGCTGGAGAAGAGTATTGAACATTTCATTGACTGCCAAGGAAACAAATAGGTCTGTGCTAGAGAGGGTAAAACTACATTGCTCCTTGGAGACAAAGATATTGGATTTCTGTCTCACGTACTTTGGACATGTGAGGGACAAATCCTTGGAAAAGGACATCATGCTTGGAAAAGTAGAGAGTCAGCACAGTATAGGAATACCCTAAAAGAGATGGATTGACACGGTAACTGTGACAATTTTGTTAGAATTGTCTGAAACGATGAGATTGTCTTAGGATAGGGCAAGGTTCAGATCCATTATTTAGTGTTGCTATGAATCGTAGTTGACTTGGTGGCACATACCAGCAACAACAACATATAGTGATATCTTAATAGATTTAATTTCCAGTTCCTGAAGGCATGTGGTTCTAATCCACAAGGTGTTCTGTGGGAGAAAGTTGAGCAGTATCCTCCGGGCAAGTAATAGCCCTACTGGAGAGTCAGCTATAGGTCAATTCTGACTCAACAGTACACAACAACAACTACAGTGAGTAATTTTGTTGCACATCTTTCCATGTGCTTATTTACCTCCATAAATCTGATCAACTGTCTATTGAGATGCCTATTTTTATTAGGTGATTTGTTGTCACATTGTAGAGTTTTGAGAGTTTTGTAAATATTCTGGATTCTTTGGTTATCTGTGGATTCATTTTAAATTTACACTTTAAAGTTGGTTACGACTCTGTGGTATACAACAACAACATTTTAAATTTGTTCTTGACTTGAGGCTTCTCAAATTACTAATTACTAAAGTAAAGTAAATTACTTTAATAAAGTACTAAAGTAATGTTACAGATTGTATGGGTTCTCTTTTGTTGCCAATTTCAAGGTATATTTGCCGCCACTCCACCTAGTGCCCAGTTTTTTGAGATAGTGTTACTTAGAATCCCATTGGGTAAATGGTTTCTTTCTAGTTCAACTTTAAATAGAGAAATGTTTGAAATACCAGCTTTATAGAGTCCAGTACTCACTTTACACAGTTCTAGATGTTGTTTCCTGCTACTAGTCACTTGGTGCACTATCTAGAAGAAAACAGTTACTGCTGTTGAGTCAATCTAGCAGGTTTTCAGAGACTGGAAAAATCATATGGGAGATAGCCCATCTTTCTTTTGCAGGGGAGCTAGTGAGTTTGAGCAGCCTGCCTTTGGGTTGACTCCCTACAGATTAGACCACTAGAGTCTACTTCATGCACCGTATTCACCTATTTTATAAAATGACTTCAATGTAAAAGCTGATCTTATTGATCATCCCTCCAGGTTTCTGCTTTTATTTGGTTTGTGCTCTCAGAATATTCTTTTACCAGTTTACCAGATCATCCCAACATCTAAGACAATTTTGTTTGTTTTGGTTTTATTACAATTTAAGTAAAAATTTGCAAAGCTCATTGGTTTTCCATTCATTCAACATTCCAGGTTATATATATTTTGTTTTATGACATTAGCCACACTCTTTTCACTTCTTTGTTATTCTCATTTTTATTAATCTCTTTTATCCCTTGTTGCCTTCTGAGCTTTCCCCGATTAGATACTACCTTTAGATCTTATGTGGTGATTTATTCTAATGAGTGTCTCCCTGCTTTATCTTATAGTCCTGTCTACTCTTTAGCTAAAAATTGAGCCATGGGGGTGTTTTTTATCCCCAAGTTGTAAGGGTGACTAAGTGCCATGGTTTCAGGAATTGTATCAGTCAATCTCTGTCAAACCACTATATCTGGCCATTTTTATGTTTTTGAGGTTTGTTCCATGTTTATTGTCATCTCTATGCAGGACTTTCTACTCTTCATCTCTTTTAGAGTAGCCAATGCTAAAAGTGTGTCATCTAGTTCTGATTTCTGGGCTGTAGAACTTGAGATTTGGATAGTTCAATAGACATTTGGGCTAATTATTTTAGTACATCTTTGCTTTTCTTTCCTTCTCTTTGTTCTGCACAGAGAGAGATCATTAGCTGTACTATAGGTGGCTTCTCACAAGCTGTTAAGATCCCAGTTGTTACTCAACAAAGTAAGATGTATAGCATCTTAATGTATATCTTAAGTAAGATACTTCTTACTTCACATACTTACTTAATATACATTTTAAATAAGATAGTCTTTGTGGACTATGAAAATTAACCTCAGTGTCCCCTAAGACTGGTGCTGAGACAGGGTAATGGGTTATGATTAAGAAGTTAACATAATT